ACCACCGCCTCAGCCTAGTTCTAGGTTCAGCTTCAGTTTCCAAAGCGATGTCTGACTCCGTTGATTGCCTACACATTTGTTGCATATTATTTTCTAAGCTACTTATTGCTACTGTTTATCTGATAACGAAGATTCAGTGTTTCGTTCATCAGTTGTTTACACTCATACTGATAAATGATAAATGTATAAACACATGGTTTATTCATGCATAACGCAAATAAATTGGTCAATCCGGTGATTGACCAGTACCGACGCTTGCACTCCACTCTCAAGGGTTTTTTTACTTTAGTCAGGGTAGATTTCCGCAGTTGGTACTGTTAGTCCGCAGCTGTACTGACGTTAGGAGCTAGAAAGATTTAAAAACTGTTGGCCCATGCTGCTGGCGAAGTAGTTTAGCGATACGGATTGAATAGGTCTTGCCAAACCTGTTGCTGAAACACTACTTAACCAGAAGAATAGGCCAAAATACACCATTAGCTCTGAACGCCACAACATCTACAGAACCAATTGCGGATATCAGCCTTGTCCACTCTGAACAGGGCCTGTGAGACACCAGCCGAAACGTTGGTATTCGATTCGGTACCCATTCGCTCGCGTTGTGTATGAATAAACCGTGCATTTATAGATCTTTCACTTTTCACCTGATAACAGCAGATAATCAGCCAATATCTTGTGTTAACACTGCACAGTATTTGGGCGTTGCCCTGAATGGCAAGTAGCCTCAGCTACAATGATCGTACGGAGAGGATCATTCATATGCCGAGACTTGTGAGATTCTAGATCGTTATTCGATTGACGCAGTTTGACTCATTATTTAAGTTGTTTCATTCCAGTCATTACCAGCAGTCTTTTTTGCTGATTTACGGAGGAAGAAGTATGCCATCTTCAAACTATTAGTGTTACTTAATTCTCTTATATGTACAATTCTTTGGGATAAGAATTTTGTGACCAAATAGCTGGAAATGTCGTCTGTGCGGTCTGCGACTTTGGCAATAATTGGCACCCACTGCATATAAAATTTTTGAAGGGTTCATCAGTTCATTGGAGAACCACCAAAGCTTGCAACGCTTTACCGGATGGAACTGCACTTTCTCGCGCAGCTCAGTTCTGTTGTTTTTTTCCTAGATTCTGAAACACCCTGAATCGCGGAAGGCGCACATTTTAAAGAATTTTATCATTTGGCATTGTCTATAGTTTCGTATATACGAGTGCATGTTCTGCGTATTAAAAGACAGTATCTATTGCTAATAGCAGCTGTATTGCACAAATTAATAAACCGCTGATTCAGTGATGACAATGCGCAGATGCTGCGAGTTTTCTAGCGAACCTCGTCAGCAGTAGAAGCTGTAGCATCGCCTTTAGCGGATATGCAGTAACCATGCTGAATGGATCTATGACTTGCCGATTCTGTGGTTATCAGCAGGAAAACAAGAAATAATCATTTTTGAAAATGAATCCTTTTTCTTGTAGCTTAGGAGACCGTTTATACGGGCCATTTTATAGTGAATTATAGGTGCTAAAATACCATGAATCATAAAGTTACGAGACGGTTCTTCGCCGTATAAATCCAGATGACTGATAGATGGAAAAAAGTCTTTATTTCGTACATTTTCCAAAGTTCCAATCCAACTGACATCGACTTTCATAAGAAAATGTAGTGAACAAGGCACTGAATTTAACGAATAGGCAGTCACGGACAATGTGATGGCAATGTAACGAAGAGGTTCAACCATGAAATCTGTGAAGTAGATACTTGCGAAGTACTGCATAGTCTAAGGACAGTACTGTGACGTGGTTGCCGTACGCTGTCAAATGCCAGAATGCTGCGACAGGTCCCAAGTTAAGTCTAGAAACGCAGTCATCTTCGCAAGACATGGTCCGTTGCGCTCGGTCATTCACCAAACCGCAGATCTTGAACACCCCAAAACGATGGGGGTTATCGATTCGATATGGTGACTCCGCCGAACACGCGCAAAAATGTGAAGTGTGCAGAAACTCTCGTGCATTTTACTATTTCGTTACTTACAACGAAATGAGTTGGCGCTGACAATTCTGTAAATCAGAATTTTATGTTATTCTTAACGGCATAAAAAGGCTCTTAGTGATAACAGATCCAGAAGGAATAATACCAAAGTTTCGCTTAATGAATAAATTCTTCCCACGTTTCTTAACGCCCTTTCCTTAATCTGTTCTGTCTATAGTTTTATCTGTTTTTGGTATTCCCCGGCTATTTATTTGTTAACTCCCACAGATTTTATTTTCCTTTTTTTGGGTTTGAAAGC